GTCAAAAAAATGCATGTCAAAAAAATGATAACTGTTTTAGTTAAGACATTTTTAAACTGTTCCGACTTCCATCTGAAATATGTAAGCTTAGAAAGTGGTTTTCTTAATGATGACACAGATCGCTGGTATTTGTTTAAAAAAAGCTCCGGCTGAACACAGCCCCTACCAAGGTGCTCTTTTGCTGGTTGCTGGCACTTTCCACTTCAGAGCAGCTGAGTGTTTATAGGGGGGCACCTGGCACAATGCCTGGGAGAACACAGAAGGCCTCTCAAAGATCTGTCAAAAGAGATTGGGATCTTTAATCAGCAGGTACTGCCATAGAACAGACTCTAACACCAGCTTCAAAACACCCTCCATTTAAACCAGCTGTGAGCTCCGCAGTGCAGTGCACAAGCAGGACATATGCTTACCACCGAGGCCTCTGTGGGCCGGAGCAGACAGGGTGAGTATGTCTGAAAAGTCTGCCCCCTAATGACCTCCCTGCTGCACAGTCCCGGAATTGGGTTTCGCCACATAAGAGCAAAAACAGGAATTGGGTATGTAGTGTTTCAGCTTTAGGAGGCTTTCACTTTGAGCCTGATTCCATTTCTCTGTTACCCAGGGCTTGGCAAGTGGCACCGCACCCCGAGCAAGGCTGTCCCTCAGCTGCAGGTTAGAGCACAGCTTTGTGTGAGTCGGCTTGTGACAGGCTGGAAACACAGAACCATGGTGGGAGGAAGGAGTGTGTGTGGCAGTTCTAAGTCATTGAAATTGCTGTTCTTTCTCCGCAGGCCATGTGGGGTGTCCCTGCTAAGGAGCACAGTTTGATGGCTAGGGAAAATGGCAAGGAGAATTGAATGCCTAAAATTGATGGTGGTAGTAGTGGCATACCACCTAAGAGAAGGCTGTTGTGAGATCCTTGCCATAGGCAGGGCCACTGAAATGTCATGGTACACTGAGTCCAGTGGTGTGTCAAAAAAAACGAGGAAAAGTATAGCAAGCATTTGTGAGAGTTTTCTTCCTGAGCAGCTGTTTTGAAATAGCTTTCTCTAAACTTTTATAATTTTTTAATAATTTTTATAAAATCAGACTTTATACAGTATCTTGCTCATTGGGTTACATGGGAATTGACTAGAATCCTTTTATGCAGTTTTCTATGAAAATGTGTGGCACAATGCCAGGCTCTGGAAGAGACTTAGGAAATAAATAGCACGTGCAAGATGCTTTATGTTGTTGACCAGCTCCCTCTTGGTCCTAAGTAAATAAGCTATGAGAAAGTGAATGTGAGTTCTAAACAGTGACTCTTTGTTAAAGCGGTTAGCAAAAGGTTATACATTCACATGTTGTAACAGTGTGATGAGAACATAAGTGTGTTACATAACTTCTCTGCATTCTTCTCAGTGTTTAAAGTACAAGTAAAAAGGAAAAACGATATGCTTTAAAAAACACATTGAGGGGCGCGGCGCAGTGGCTCATGCCTATAATCCCAGCACTTTGGGAGGCCAAGGCAGGAGGATCATGAGGTCAGGAGTTTGAGACCAGCCTGGCCAACATAGCGAAACCCTGTCTCTACTAGAAATACAAAAATTAACTGGGCGTGGTGGCAGGCGCCTGTAATCCCAGCTACTGGGGAGGCTGAGGCTGGAGAATCACTTCAACCTAGGAGGTGGAGGTTGCAGTGAGCCAAGATCGCACCATTTCACTCCAACCTGGGCAACAAGCCTGAAACTCCATCTCAAAAAGAAAAAAAAATTGAGAAATTACTATTTTACATGAGAATATCATCTGCCTGATTCAAACTAGAGATGAAACCACCTTTTCCCTCCTTACCTTTAATCTTCCTCAGAAAACACCACATTATACATTTCTTCCTCTTCCGTATTTATTTGCATGTTTATTTTAATAACTTCATTGAGGTATAATTTACCTCCAGTAAGTTCACGTATTTTAAGTGAATAGGCTGATGAATTTTAGAAATTATACAGAGTGATGTAAACACCTCCATAATCAAGATAAGTAGAACATTTCCATCACCTTTAAAAATGCCTTCACGCTCTTTTGCAGTTGATCCCTTCCCTTAATCCCCGGCCCTGGGAAACCTCTGATCTGCTTTCTGTCACTATAGCTTTGTGTCACTACAAAAAATTTTATATAAATGGAATCCTACTCTGTAGTCTCCTGTGTGTTTTCTTTCACTTAACCTTTTGGAGACTTATTTGTATTGTTTGGTGTTTTCGTATTTCATCTCTTTTATTGCTGAGTAGTATTCAATAAGTATGGCTCTATGAAGTAAGAGAATATAAGCATATGTGTATGTGTAGGTGGTTCATGTGAGCATGTTCTCTTCCTCACCACTCCACTTACTGACTGCTCAAATGAATTAATTTAAGATGGCTCTTCATCTTTTGACAGTTTAACTTTTAAAATTTGACTATTCCTTTATTTCTTTTGCAAGTTAAGGTTATACTTACAACTTTAAATATTATTTATATTAAGCAATTTAGTTATCATGTGCCTTGATACCGTTTTCTTCATGATTCTTGTGCTTGAAGTTTGTTAAGCTTCTTTGATCTGTGAGTTTATAGTTTTCATCAAATTTGGAAAATTTTTTGGTCATTATTTCTTCACATACTTTTATTCCATTTCCTCCCTTTCTCCTCTCCTTCAGTGACTAGCTTGTTGGTCCATCCTTCCTTCCTTCCTTCCTTTGTTTCTTTTGTCTTTTTTCTATTTCATTTTGGGTCATTTCTATTGCAGGGTCATCAAATTCACTAGTCTTTCCTTCTACAATGTCTAGTCTGCTCTTATTCCCATTTAACATATTTTTCACCACAGGCATTATAGTTTTATCTTTGGAAATTTGATTTAAATCTGTTGTTTAAAAAATATCTTCCATGTCTCTTAAGATGTTCATTCTTTTTTTCTAGCTCCGAGAACATAAAGAATACAGTTAGAACTTTTAGAGTCCCTGTCTGCTAATGTTATCATTTGTTGTTTCTGGCCTGTTTCTGTTGACTGATTTTTCTCCTCATTATGTGTTGTACTTCTCACTTCTTGCATGCCTGGTCATTTTTAAAATTGGATACCAGCTATTGTGAATTTTACCTTTTTGTGTGCTGGATTTTTTGGTATTGCTATAAATATCCTTGAGCTTTGTTCTTGGATGTATTAAGTTACTCAGAAACAGTTTGATCCTTTTGAAGTTTGCTTTTAAGCTTTACTAGGTAAGATGAGAGCAGGCGTTAGGGATACTATCGGTAGCCTTTCTGAGTACTCTTTCTGATGCCCTGTGAATTATGAGGTTTTCCACTCTGACTGGTGAGATTAGGCACTATGTCCGGTCCTGTGTGAGGCTCTGGGATGGTTTCCTTTGCTTCTCTCACGGGGTTCTTTCCCTGTTCTCAGTTTTCTCACATGCAAGCCCTGATCAGTACTCAGTTGAAGATTTGGGGGACCATCTAAGATCTCTGCAACACTACCTCTGCGCAGCCCCCGTCTCTTTATTACCCTGCTCTGTGAGCTGCTACTGCCTTGAGACTCCCCAGTCTATCTTCTCAGCTCAAAGAGATGCTGGGCTCCTCCTGGGTGCCCCTTGCCTGCACCCTGGCCTGGAAACTGTCCCCGGGCAGTAAGGTGGCCTTACTTCATTGGCTTTCCCTCTCTCAGGATCACTGTCCTTTGCTGCCTGACGGCCAATGACCGAAAACCACAGTTTCTATACTTTTTTCAGTTCTTTCATTTTCATGGCGGAAGGTAAATGTAGTTCCTGTTATTCCATCTTCACTGGAAACAGAAATCCCAACTTAGTTTTTAAAACTTTTAATGAAATATTTTTAGCACTCAGGCAAGTGTATTGATTACGCAGATAGCCATGACTCGTTTTTATAGTTTTGTCATTTTTCCACTGCATTTTTAAAAACAAAGTATTACAGATACAATTAAAATCCTCTTTTTTTTTTCCAGACAGAGTCTCACCCTGTTGCCCAGGCTGGAGTGCATTGGTGCAATCTCGGCTCACTGCAGTCTCCATCTCCCGGGTTCAAGCAATTCTCCCGTCTCAGCCTCTCTGGTAGCTGGGATTATAGGCATGTGCCACCACACATGGTTAATTTTTGTATTTTCAGTAGAGATGGGATTTCACCATGTTGGCCAGGCTGGTCTCAAACTCCTGATCTCAAGTGATCTTCCCACCTCAGCCTCCCAAAGTGATGGGATTACAGACGTGAGCCACCATGCCCAGCCAAATCCTCTCTTCTTAATCCTATTCTTCTTTCCCTTTACAGAGGTAGCCAATATTCTGTATTTGATTATTGTCATTCATGTGTGGATTTAAAAAAATAGTTTTACTACATATGTATGTATCTATAAATAGTCTCTATTAACAGTATTATCTGAAGACATAAAACAGTATTATGCTATACCTATAATTCTTCCATTTTCTTTCACTTTTCATTCAGCATTTAAAAAATATTTATCCCTATGACACGGATAGCTTTAGCTGAAATGTACATTCCACAAGAACAAGAATCTTGCTGTGTTTTGTTCACTAGGATATTCCAAGCATCTAGATATTGTCTGGCGTATTATAGGGTCAATCAACATTTGTTGAATGAATGAGTGCTGTATCATACTTGACTATATGAGTATGCCACAGTGTATTCTCCTGTTGATGAATGCTTAGGTTGTTGTACCTTTTTTTTGTTTTTGTTTTTTTTAATGTGAACAGTGCTACAGTGAATGTTCTGGTTTGTGTCTCCTTGTGCACGTATGTAAGAATTTCTTTTAGGAAATACTGGGTGTTAGGGGCAGGCACCTCTCCAACTTAGCAGTACCTTGCTGAGTTACCCTCCATGGTAATATTATCAATTTATACTCCCAGCAGCAGTGTATAAGAATCCCAGTTTCTCCATATTCTCACCAACATTTGATATTATCAGATATTTTGATTTTTGCCAATCCTATATACATAAGATTGTTTTGTTTTACTTTTTGTTAATAACACATATCATTTTTATTAATAGAAATTTGATGTATTCTTTCCATCCTGGGAATGGACATAATGATAGTCGGAGGACTGTGTTTTATACCAATGAAGAGTAGGAATTTTTAGACCCAACCCCTAAGGACCTAGAGGAGTCCATAGTACAGGAAGAAAAGAAGAAGCCGACCCCTGAAGGAAACAAAGGTATCTATGCACTTCCTGTTGTCTGTCATTCTCTGTACTGCCATCTGTTAACCACCAGTGATGTGAGAGACACTTTATTAGCAGGTATTTCTGGAAGCAGAGGGCCTAATTGGGGCTTGCATTTTCTTTGTGGGACTTAAAACATAAAGGCTTGGCAAATTATTTAATAAATGTTACAAGAAATAAATGGCTGTCTAGTTCAATGGCTCAAAATTTTTTGGGAAATAGAACACTTGGAAGTCATGATCCTCTTTATGGAAATATTGATTTTTAAAAAACTTTTTAGTTAATATAAATGATCAAAGCCAGGTGCAGTGGCTTATGCCTATAATCCCAGCACTTTGGGAGGCCAAGGTGGGTGGATCACGAGGTCATGAGTTCGAGACCAGCCTGGCCAACATGGTGAGACCCTGTCTCTACTAAAAATACAAAAATTAACCAGGCAGGAGAATTGCTTCAACCCGGGAGGCAGAGGTTGCAGTGAGCTGAGACTGCGCCACTGCACTCCAGCCTGGGCAACAGAGCAAGACTCCATCTCAAAAAAAAAAAAATTGTCTTTAGAAAACTCGTAAAATTAAGATTGATAATTCAGAATAACATTGGATTTTTGTTATTTGCGTAATATTATATGACTGTGGCATTTTGGGAAAATCATTTATTTCATTCTTTCTGTATCAGGCAAATTTACAGTTTATGATGTGGTTCGGTGTGTAATCTTATTCTTCAGATTCCCAATGCAGTTTTTGCTTGTCTGTAGATGCTATTATTATTACGACACACATAAAACTTGAGGGATAAATAGGGTTGGGTCCATTGGAGTCACCGTAGCTATTAATTCAAATAGGATCTTTCCAGAAGCATTTATTATAGATAGTATTTGATATTAAATCTTTATTTAAAATTTTTTTAATGGTTAATAGATATTGTGAACTGTCACTGTATGTTCAGTTGGTTACCTTTTGCCCTCATTTATTCCACTCCAACAACTGACCTAGGTTCTGTTCTTCAAACCTACAAGGCATGCTCCTATCTCAGTAACCTTTACAATTGGTGTTCCTTCCATCTGGAATGCTTTCTCCACATATGTGCATAACTGATTTCCTATCTTCCTTTAGATATTTGTGCAAGTGTCATCTTAGGGAAATCTTTTCTGATTGCCCTAGTTATAATTGCAACTTAAATCTCCTACTTCTTGTCCCTCTTTTCTACTTAATTTTCTCCTTAGCAACTATCACTATCTGCCAGGCCCTCTATTTCACTGCCTCATTGTCTTTCTCCCCTTTCCTAGAATATTAGTTTCATGGGAGTAGGAACTGTATCCACCTAGTTGCCTACTGAATACATTATACCTAAAACAGTACCTGGGTAAAGCAGATACTAAACTATTTGAGTGAATGAAAAAACAAAAAACAGGAATGAGTGAGTGAGTGAATGAATAAAAATATAAATGGTTGGAAACATATATATGAATAAATATGTAGATGAAAAATACTCTAAGGCCAGATGCTTGGCTCACACCTGTAATCCCAGCACTTTAGGGGACCAAGGCAGGCGGATCAAGAGGTCAGGTGTTCGAGGCCAGCCTGGCCAATGTGGTGAAACCCCGTCTCTACTAAAAATACAAAAATTAGCCAGGTATGGTGGCATGTGCCTGTAGTCCCAGCTACTCAGGAGGCTGAGGCAGGAGAATTGCTTGAACTCAGGAGTAGAGGTTGCAGTGAGCTGAGATTATGCCACTGCACTCCAGCCTGGACAACAAAGTGAGATTCTGTCTCAAAAAAAAAAAAAAAAAAATACCGATAGTAACCTGTATTTTTGTGCAACAGAAATAAGATAACCCATTATAAAATTGAGTTTTTAGATATGGATAAATTTTTGCTTGTCTGCCTGGCAATATTTAAGTTAAGTTGGTATCTAATGTTATTTAGCTACAGTAATGTTTAGAGTGCTATAAAATTTGTAATCAAACACATTTGTTACTTTTTAAAAAAGTTTATTATCTGTGAGAAAAGAATAGTTTTCAAGTTTTGATAGAGGTAAGCAGTACAGGGGACAGAATTTTTTTTTTTTTTTTTTTTAAAGACAGAGCCTTGTTCCGTTGACCGTGCTGGATGGAGTGCAGTGATGCAATCATGGCTCACTACAGCCTCCTGGACTCAAGCACTTTTCCCACCTCAGCCTCCTGAGTAGATGGGGGGACCACAGGCACACCACCATACCTGGCTTATTTTTTAATTTTAATTTTTATTTTTTTGTGGAGACAGAGTCTCCCTGTGTTGCCCAGGATAGTCTCTAACTCCTGGGCTCAAATGAATCCTCCTGCCTTGGCCTCCCAAAGGCCTGTAAGTGCAGGGATTATAGTCGTGAGCCACCACACCTGGCTGAGAAATCATAATTCTTTCTGATAATATGTCAGGTATCCCTTTATCACCCCAATAATGTTTATGCAGTTTGGCTAGATTTATAGCAATGAGAGCTCTTTTTTGCACATAAATCCTAGAGGTATATGAAGTCTGACTTTCAAATCAGTACAGTAACTAAAATATTTTAGAGCCACTTAAATAGATGACTACACTGGTAGGTGTGAGACTCATCAGTCCGTCAGAGCCATAGTAACTGTATATTGGAGAAATTGGAACTACTTTATCTCTGGATGGCCCTAGGCTGCTGCTTACCTGCTAATTTTGAGTTTCAGTGCAGTTAATACATTGGGAGTTTGGAAGAAAGCTTAGCTTTCTTCATTGAAAACTTTAAAAGGCAGATGGTCTGACTCCTCCAGACCCCTCAACCCACACCAACATTACGTACAACCCTCCACCTACATACATATGTGCACAGCCTAGATAAAAAATTAGTTGTACACTACAAGATACCGAACATAGTGAAGCTACTAGATTGTAACTTTCTGAGGGCCTGCTTGGTTCTGAGTTTTCTTCTCCTTTTCGAATAGTTTGGAGATTATGGTTTCATATTAGGGTAATTCATCTAACAATAACTGCTTTGCCAAAATCTGCTTTTATGCACTGGACAAGTGCTACACTTACTTTATTCTATACTGTGTGCTGTATAGTTTATTCTATACTTTTATCTTTGTTTTCTTTGCATCTATAGCATGTTTGCTGGTGGTTTGTTTTCTCTTTGCTATTTTGACCAATGACACATTGGAGATTTTCTCATCTATAAGAAACTATTTTTAAAAGCTTATGTTCCATCCCCTTTTCTTTCTACCTTAATGCACTAAGCATCACTTTTTTGTTTCTTTTTGACTTTTTTTTTTCCTTTTTGTGGAGAATGGGGTCTCTTGCTTCTAGGATTCTAACATATTTGCACCTTATGGTTTCTACTCTTTGATAAATTTTCAAGTTTGTATCAGAAGCCATAGTCTTTATCTTGTACTTACAGGCAAATATTACAATTCCTTATTTTTCAACAGTTTCACAAAGGCTGAAAAATTTGCCTCATACTTCCTTCAAAGCCAAACAGTTGCTTCAAACTTCATCTACAAATAGAGGTAAGTACTAAGTTTAAAGTTCAGCAGATGATCTAGTTCAATCTTAAGCCTTTTGACATACTGAGTGACCAGTGTCTGTAATATAGTATAATATGTTTTAGTCTTTTTAAAAAAAATAACAATAGGCCGGGGGCACGGTGGCTCATGCCTGTAATCTCAACACTTTGGGAGGCTGAGGTGGGTGGATCACGAGGTCAGGAGATCAAGACCATTCTCACTAACACAGTGAGACCCCGTCTCTACTAAAAGTAGAAAAAAATTAGCCAGGCAGGGTGGCACGCACCTGTAATCCCATCTACTCAGGTGGCTGAGGTAGGAGAATTGCTTGAACCCCGGAGGCAGAGGTTTCATTGAGCCGAGATTGCGCCACTGCATTCTGGCCTGGGCGACAGAGTGAGACTTTATCTCTAAATAAATAAGCAAATAAATAATTTTTAAAAAGCAATAAAATAATGAGAATTTATCATGTTATTTGGGTAAATCCAGAAGAAACATTTTCTACAGAGGTATGTTTTAGGTTGTTTTGCTGAAAGGAGTAAGTGATATATAGAGAATTTATTTTTGTTACCAACTTAAAACTAAAAGTCATTGTTTCAACTTTATGCCAACTGAAATTCATAAGTGCTTTAAAATGAACTTTATATATACATTTTAATGGACTCGGGAAAGCATTTTTGGACTGATTTCATAGAAGTAGAATTTCTGGAAGAAAATAATATAAAACAGTTTTAGGGATTTTAGTAGAAATTTTCAAATTATCCTGCAGGAAAATTGGTTCAGTTTATACTCCCACCAACAGTGACAGAGCTCCAGTTTCCTCCTTCCATTTGGCATCTTTGCTGGTCTTTAAGCAGAAAATATTGTTTTCATTACATTTCTTTGGTTTTAGTGCTTTTGAATCTTTTTTTATGTGCTTACTGGCCGTTTTTATTTTTGTAGGAAGTGCCTGTTTCTCCATTGCCCACTTTCTGTTAGAAATCATTTGGTTTTTTCTGAGCAATTTTATAAAATTATAAAATATTTTATCTTTTTTAAATCATTTGTCTTTTTCTGAGTAATTTAAAGATTTCTTTATAAGCTAAGGATACAAACCTTTTATCTGTCATTGAAGTTTCAAAAACTTTCTCCCAGTAAGTAATTTGTCATTTTGCTTTATTTTTTCTTTCTTTGTTTTTTGCTAGCCAAACTCCAAAGTCACATGTTACTTAATGTTTATCCTGCTGAATGAAAGCGTTTTAACTTAGTGATTTTAGTGTAAACAGGAGCAGGACAGAATGTAATTATCTAGGTCTTGCTCTGTCACCCAAGCTGGAGTGTAGTGGCATGATCATAGCTACTGCAGCCTCAAACTCTGGGACTCAAGTGATTTTCCTGCCTCAGCCTCCCAAGTAGCTAGGACTACAGGTGTGTACCACCACGCCCTGCTGATTTTTAAAATTTTCTGTAGAGATACCAATTCGCTGTGCTGCCCAGGCTGGTCTTGAACTCCTGAGTTCAAGTAATCCTCCCACCTTGGCTTGCCAAAGTGCTAGGATTACAGGTGTGAACTGCTGTTTCTGGTTGAGAGTTTACTTTTGTTTGCTAGTGGTGTTCTTGGTATCTTTTCACATTTGAGGCTTTGGTCCTAGTGCTGAAGTATTACACTTACCATCTGAGGTTTACAGGACTCGTGTTTTAATATTGAACAGATGGAACTGTTCTGCATCTTTGCAGGTATACAAAATGTGCCTACCAGGACTCCCTTTTGTATCCATTGAAAGCAAGAAGTAATAGAGTAAAATTTTGCCTGGCTAGAGGCTTTGAAAGAATGGAGTATTCTGGTTTAATTCTATTAACTTAGAATTATGAAGGTGAAAATTTTTGAAAACTTTAATTTCATATTGAATGCAATTTGAGAATATAACCAATGATTCCATTTTTTTTCTCTAATAAGTTTGGACATTCAGATCTACATGATCTTTTATTATAGAACTCCTAGTGTGCCTGAGACTTACATTGTGAAGATCCTTTTCTGAAACTTTAGATGTAAGAGGATGTAAATGGTATTGTGTGAGATCAGGCTGGATGAGAACTGTTACCTGTAAATACACTTTTTAGACTAAATCTCTGATTGCCACTTGTTTTCTAATTTAACTCATAAAAATAAAACACACTGGGCCGGGCTCGGTGGCTCAAGCCTGTAATCCCAGCACTTTGGGAGGCCGAGACGGGCAGATCACAAGGTCAGGAGATCGAGACCATCCTGGCTAACACGGTGAAACCCCGTCTCTACTAAAAAATACAAAAAACTAGCCGGGTGAGGTGGCAGGCGCCTGTAGTCCCAGCTACTCAGGAGGCTGAGGCAGGAGAATGGCATGAACCCGGGAGGCGGAGCTTGCAGTGAGCTGAGATCCGGCCACTGCACTCCAGCCTGGGCGACAGAGCAAGACTCCATCTCAAAAAAATAAATAAATAAAATAAATAAAACACATTGGATGGAGGGTGGAAGTAGGAAGGAGATTTATTCCTTTTAATTGCATGTCATTGTTTCATATCAAGACAGAATATATAGCATCCCTGGCTTTGGACTTACAGAAGGAAACACATTTTTCTACCTGCTGTATGCCAGATGTTCTTGAGCACCTGGAGGGTTTATTGAAGCACAGATTGCTGGGCCCTACTCCAGAGTTTCTGATTCATCAGGTCTAGGGTGGGGCCTGATAATTAGAATTTGTAAAAAGTTCTTAGGTGCTGCTGGTCCAGAGACTACATTTTTGAGAACCACTCTTGTATACTAATTATAAATTGTAGAACTCTAGAAAAAAGCTTAGTTTGGTCTGGGATAAGCAGCACACAGGTTATGGAGCAAATCATGAGAGATTAAACCATTGATCCCAGTCTAGTGTGGAATTTGGATAATAAGCAATACACAATGACATAACACAATTCTTGGTTTTCATGATTGTAAGTCGTAGCCAAGTATTTTTTAGTGAGAAATTCAGATTCGTTTGCAAGGTTTAGAGATTCCAGGTGATTCTTGAAAAATAGGATTTAGTGATTAACCCCATGAGAGTAGAAGTTATTTATGTCCTTTTTCTCTCCCCCATCACTTAGCATTTAGCCTTACTTTAGAAGGGCCCTGTATTTGCTTTAGACTGGTAAAGAGCTTTGAGTGCTTATTAAATTGAAAGCTTTGTGTATTTATTTATTTATTTATTTATTTATTTATTTATTTATTTATTTATTCTTGTGAGATGGAGTCTTGCTCTGTCACCCAGGCTGAAGTGCAGTGGCGTGATCTCGGTTCACTGCAACCTCTGCCTCCTGGGTTCAAGCGATTCTCCTGCGTCAGCCTCCTGTGTAGCTGGAATTACAGGTGCCCATCACCACGCCTGGCTAGTTTTTGTATTTTTAGTAGAGACGGGGTTTCACCATGTCAGCCAGTCTGATCTCAAACTCCTGACCTCAGGTGATCCACCTGTCTCAGTGTCCCAAAGTACTGGGATTACAGGCGTGAGCCACCATGCCTGGCCCAAAAGCTTTGTGTTTTTAAAGATATTAGACATGTTTCTTGTTTAAAACAAAATCTTAACAGTAATGTAGGAGAATAAGAGAAACTTTTTCCAAAAAAGAAAAATCATTGTGATTATTTTATTCATTAGAATGTTGGATAATGTAGTCTGCTTCATTAATCATCAAGTGTGCTATGGATTTTTCCATTTTTACAGGATTTGTACCTCAATTGATGGAATACTGGTAATTCTTCTATTCCATTTGAAGATGAAAAAGGCCAAAATCGTAGGCCTGGCATAGAAGTTGGATAATGAAGACGGCTCTGGAAGAATATATAGGTACACATACATATAGACACACACATATATAAAATATACAGACATATTATTTTTAAAGTTTATTTTTTAAAGTTTTAAAGTTTTTAAAATGAAAACTGGCCCTGCCCCTCTCCCAGAGTGAGCGGAGAACAGTGGTTGCATGAGCAGCTTTCCTTGTGAGGCCACAGGTCCCTCTGGACATGCTGCTGCCTGGCCATGGCTCCTTTCCCTTTCATCTTTCTCATAGACCAAGGGGCTTCGAGCATTAAGGCCACACCCCTATTATGCATTCTAGTGCGACCCTGGTTACACCTCCTCTGGCTCAGTCACACAGCTGTGTGGTAGGCTACTAGTAGTGTTTAGCAGTTGTCACTGGGATCACACTGATGTGGCCCCATCCCCGCCTCTCCCTGCCCAGTGATATCAGAAGAAACCTGACAGAGAAAATTGTCCATGGCCAAGAAAAAGGTAAAATGCACCAGGTTATGGCCCCCCGACCCAGGCCCAGTCCCCCTCCGATGGTAGGACTGCTGCCAGAGTCTGTGCCACTCCTGAGGCACACCAGACTGGGCCCCACCCAATGCCTCTGGGCTCCCCCAACCAAAATCTTATAGCCAGCCCCTCCCCCTCAGCAGCCCAGCCTCTGCCCTCACCAGTTGCCCCAGGGTAACTTTGGGTGGGTGACTCCTGGGGCTCCCTGCTCCATACTCAGTCTTCACCTTCTGCTGCCCCAAGTGTGACCTCCCTTGGGTCTTTGGGCTGACATCTCCAAGGACCTGGGTCCTGGCCCTGCACCTCCTTCCCACATCTCAAAGTGGTGACTCAGGCGTCATGCTGATAGGCACCCCCACCCCAGAGAGGAGTGGAATATAGTGACATCGCAGTTCCCCTAGGAACTGTCATTACTGCCACGAAACTGGTCTTTGATCTTAGGACCCAGTCCACTAAGTGTTCTCACCCTGCTTCTGGTTCCTCTGGTCACAGCACAGGTTTCCAGCTGGAAGGGGAATGGGGACTATGGGACCTAGAAGTGAGAGGTTTCAGGATGCCTTACTCCATTAGCAGAGACATTGACAATGTGAAAAGCCCACACTTTCCCCATGAGCTCAAAATGTTGACAGTGTCTCTGGGTGGCAATAGGAGAATGGGTTTGGTTTGATTTTCTCCCAGGCTTCTACTCTCCAGAGAGTTTAACATTTTTTTTCTGAGTTTTCCACCTCATATTCAAATTATCCGTGGTTCCGGGACCAGAATGCCCTTCAATCAGTGGTTTCTGGAGTAAGATCTGCTTATCTTCTGTGGAACGGATCTTGGGAAACTGAATTTGACAGCTTGAATCTTCCTCGTATCATCTCAACCTAGGGTACTTTGAGTGCCTGGGGTTGTTGCCTCTTGGGAAAGTGCTAGCCTGACTAGTTGTCAGAAGCCCTATATTTTTATCCTGACTGAGTCCCTAATTTGCTCTTTGATTCTGGACAAGCCACCTCTCCTCCTTGGGCTTGCATTTCCTGAGGAGGTAGAGTTAGAGAATATCAAAGGTCTCTGTTAGCTCTGAGAGTCCAAGGTTTAAAGGCTCACTAGAGCTGGGCATGGTGGCTCCTGCCTGTAATCCCAGCACTTTGGGAGACCGAGGTGGGTGGATCAGGAGGTCAGTAGTTCGAGACCAGCCTGACCAACATAGTGAAACCCCATCTCTACTAAAAATACAAAAATTAGCCAGGCATGGTGGCACACGCCTGTAGTCCCAGCTATTCAACTCAAGAAGCTGAGGCAGGAGAATTGCTTGAACTTGGGAGGCGGAGGTTGCAGTGAATCGAGATGGTGCCACTGCATTCAAGCCTGGGCAACAGAGCAAGACTCCATCCCCCCCGCAAAAAAAAAAGGCCCACTAGAATGAAAACCTCAGGGCCAAGGGCTCCTGTTTGTCTTTTTCTGCGTTATATCCCTGCTATTACTCCTGTTTGTCTTTTTCTGTCTTATATCCCTGTATTAAGAACCATAACTGAGGCCGAGTGCGGTGGCTCAAGCCTGTAATCCCAGCACTTTGGGAGGCCGAGACGGGCGGATCATGAGGTCAGGAGATCAAGACCATCCTGGCTAACATGGTGAAACCCCGTCTCTACTAAAAAAAAAAAAATACAAAAAACTAGCCGGGCGAGGTGGCGGGCACCTGTAGTCCCAGCTACTCGGGAGGCTGAGGCAGGAGAGTGGTGTAAACCCGGGAGGCGGAGCTTGCAGTGAGCTGAGATCCCGCCACTGCACTCCAGCCTGGGCGACAGAGCGAGACTCCGTCTCAAAAAAAAAAAAAAAAAAAAAAGGACCATACCTGGCCCATATGTGCTCAGTAAATGTTTGTTGAATGAATATACCTTTCTACATCACAAGCTGGCAGAAGGGGGGCTTTTCTCAAACTTCATCTCTAGAGGTTTATGTTACTGTCCCTATGAGAGAATTTGGATTCAGACTTTCAGTTCTATGACTGTGGGCCAAAACCAACAAAGATCCAAATCCTCTTTCCTTGGGAGCTTCAGGAGAGTTTACCAGTTCATGTTTCCATTGAGTCTGAGAACTTTGCCTTTAAAATCTATTCCTGGCTGCTGCCTACCCCTTCCTGGTCTGGGGAATAGAGTCGAGGGGGCCATCCTTAGTCACCATCCTTTAACTGTCTCCACAGAAACAACAGAACCAAGAAATGGTGGATCAGTTGGAAGAAGTAACTGTTTGCTCACAACATGACTGCTGGATTTGGGGGGCACTCAGATGTAGAGGCTTCAGTCTCGTCTCACCCACTCCCAGCCTGGGGAAGGCTCACCCCCCAGATTCCACCCCATCCCCATAAGGTCCCTGATAACTTGGTCCCATGGGTGGAACTGTGCTGGGGCATTGGTGCCATTCTGGGGGCATGTCCCTTGCTGTACCATCTCTGCTTCCCCCTAGTAAGAGCTCTGTCTTCCTTTTCCTATAGGAAAAGAAAGAGTGCCACCAGAAGCAGGGAGCTCTAAGGGAGCAGTTACAGGTGAGTAGAGAGTGCGAAGTTCCCTCCTGTCCTCTGGAGAATGTTTCTTTCCTTCTCTTTCAGCTTTTAGCTTTTCTACCAAAGGTTCACATTCAGAATGTAGAAATCCTTGTATCAGAGAAAGCCGAGTTACAGACAGCCCTGGCTCACACTTAGCATGCTGCCAGGCAGAAAGAAGGTGGGAATCTGGGCACCCCATCATCCCTCCACTTGGCACTTTGACAGGCCATTTGGGGAGTCCTTTGGGCCCCATCTGAACCTGTCTCATTCCAGGAGAGTCTGAAGATCTGGCCAGCTGCCTGTAGTATTCCTGGCAGTGTGTGGGAGAGGTGGAGCAGGCTCTTTGCTGTCTCCATACAGCAGAAGAAAGCGACAGGGTGAGTCCAACCACCTGCTCCATCCCCTGGCAGCCTGGCCTCCCAGATGGCGGAGGGAGCCTAAAGGTCCCTTCTGCAGGATGGAGTGTCCTGCCCAGAAAGCAGCATGGACTATTTCTCACTGCTTGTGTGTGTGGTTGTTAGAGGTAGCCTGGGGCTGAGTCAGCTGCTGTGGGTGAGTTAGGGGTCCCATGGAGAGTGAGCACTGGATGCAGAGTTCGGAGGCCAAGTCCTCGCCCTACCCTTAACTGGCTTTGGCCTTTGCCAAGTGCCAGGTGGGGGATATGGTACTTGTACTGTGAAGGTACAGAAGAGTATCTTCAGTATGTTACCATTTGTGTAGAGAGAGGGAACGTGTGTGTGTGTGTGTCTACATACATACTATGATCATATACATAAAACGTGTCTACAAGGATTCATCAACTCAGGAAGGGGTTGGGGGAAAGGGGAAGGAGAGCATTAGGACAAACACCTAATGCATGTGGGGCATAAAATCTAGATGACGGGTTGATGGGTGCAGCAAACCACCATGGCACACGTATACCTATGTAACAAACCTGCACGTTCAGCACATGTGTCCCAGAACTTAAAGTAAAATAATAAATAAATAAAATAAAACACAAAAAACTCAGGAGAGAGGAACAGGGTGGCTGGGAGGTATTTCCCTTCTGTACCTTCTGAGCTTTGGACTATGTGAATGGATCATCCTTTCAAAAAGTGAACAAGAGATTGATTTCCCCCTTCCTATCTGTGCCCCCACCCCCAGTGAACAAATGGGCTTAGAGAATCAGATATACCTGAGGGTTCAAATCCCAGCTCTGAGTGATCTTAGGCAAGCACTTAATCTCTAATACCCCATGTTTTTTATCGACACAATAGAGGTAATAATAGTAGTTGTCTCATATGGTGGTTGTGAGGATTAAATGGGATTGTTAGCATGGTGGCTAGTGAAGCACTCAATAAGGGTTCAAACAGTGGTAGTAATAACAGTAAAATAATAACAATATTGTTTTATCCCTCTGGGCCTCTGTTAGCCAGCTATAAATTCAATCTCTTTCCCTGTCCCTTCACCCTTACTAAGTTCTTTTAAAAACAAATGAGACTGACCAGGCGCTCGGACTCATGCTTGTAATCCCAGCACTTTGGGAGGCCTAGGCTGGCGGATCATGAGGTCAGGAGTTTGAGAGCAGCCTGGCCAGCACAGTGAAACCCTGTCTCTACTAAAAATACAAAAATTAGCTGGGTGTGGTGGTCGGCACCTGTAAATTCCAGCTACTCAGGAGGCTGAGGCAGGAGAATTGCTTGAACCTGGGAAGCCGAGGTTGCAGTGAGCCGAGATAATGCCACTGCATTTCAGCCTAGGCAACAGAGCTAGACTCCGTCTCAAAAAAAAAACAAAAACAAACAAACAAACAAACAAAAAGCAAATGAGATCATGGACTTAGAAATGCCTTGAAAAAATGTCAGGTGTGATTCAGAGTGAGGAAGTGTTACTGTGGAATAGTTACTGAGCTATTGGTACTGGTCGGCCAGCTGCTCCTCTGCCTGCTATATCCTGACTTAACCTTGGCCTGTATTTTCAGTACAACAAGGAGTTAACCAAAGAGAGAAACACCCTCAGGCTGGAGTTATACAAGAACAGGTAGCATGGAGGAAGGTGGGATGGGAGGTCTGGGGGCCCTTAGCATGGGTGATGTGCTGGGAGGTTGAGGGGGTACAGGTAAGCATGGTGAGGTGGTCATACAGGTTTGTACGTGTGCACAGTTAAGCTGTAGTGCTGGTGACTCATGGTGTAGCCTCGAACAACTCACGCCTTCTCTCGGGCCTGCCATCTGTAACTTTGGATTCCTGGGGTTCCTTCCAGTGCTACGGTTCTGTGGTTGTGAGGCAAGGGTGGAGGGTTGATCACCAAAGCAGTCCTTTCTGTTCTTAGTTCATTCCTTTCTCTACTGCCTCTGGCCATAACTGAATCAATGAGGACTGAAACAGGAGAAATCAGAACTGAAAGAGAAGCTTTGAGTCCTAGTGACTGAGAAGGCTGGCATAAAGCTTAACTTAGAAGAGCTGCAAAAGAAATTACAAATGACTGAACTGCTTCAACAGGCTAAGGACTGCAGCCGCGGAGGTGGTTGGAGCCCCATTCAGCTGGGGCCATGGTCTAGGGATCATGCCAAGAGTTGGAAAATTTCGGTCCTTGTTCTGATGCTGCCATAGAATCCTCTAGAGAGTGCTAAAAAATCTACAAATTGGGGCCCTACCATAGACCTGGGGAATCAGAATCTCAGGGTTAGGGCTTAAAAAAAAATTTTTTAACACATCATAGATGAAAACCATTATTTTATAAATTACATTTATATGGCTAGCTAATGAGTCTGTTTATTTCCATCTGAGGTTCAAGCCAACACTTCCACTATTCCATGGGTAATAATAGAGAGTAGAGGTTTTGTTTTGTTTTTTTGTTTGTTTGTTTGAGATGGGGTCTCTATCACCCAGGCTGGAGTGCAGTGGTGTGATCTTGGCTCACTGCAGCCTCTACCTCCCAGGCTCAAGCGATCCTCCTGCCTCAGCTTCTCAAGTAGCTGGGACTATAGGTGCACACCACCACACCTGGCTAATTTTTGTATTTGTAGAAACGGGGCTTTGCCATGTTGCCCAGGCTGGTTTTGAACTCCTGAGCTCAAGTGATCCGCCTCCCTCAGTCTCCCAAAGTGTTGGGATTCAGACATGAGCCACCATGCCCAGCCTGAGATCTTTTTAAAATTATTTAATTTTTTATTTCTAAAACAAAGAAACTTGACAGCAGAGTTGTATTGACTGAGTTGTACACTGAGCCTAGCCCTAGCCCTTTTAAGGGGCACTGTTGGAACGGCCCAGGCTCCCCGAATCTAAACTTCTCACTCTTCACTATCTAGTTTTCAAGGCACTGTGAAGGCCCTGATACTAAACAGCAGTTACTGCAGGCCATGGAGGAGTGGGCATAGCTGGAAGCACACCTGGGGCAGGCAGGGGAGGGATATGGAAGGAAGATGACCCCAGGTGGCCAGGAGCAGGTGAGGACCAGTGACAACCCTTCATAACTTCTGTCCCCATTCTTGAAGGTAATGGAGTCAGTTGGACAACTACAAATGGAGAGAGAGACGTATGCTGAAAATCTGAAAGGAGGGAGTGCCATGTGGCAGCAGAGGATGCAGTAGATGTCAGAGCAGGTGAGACCTGACCCTTCAGCCCCCCACCTTATATAGATCACTTGATCTTTCTAGGCATCTGTAAAATGGGAAGACTATAGCCAGAGGTGATCATGGGTCTAGGCTATGTGGAGGCAGGGTCAGAGATGGAGATGGTAGCCCATCCAGCCACCAGCCCCTCTCTTCAGGGTCCTTTCCCACTGTATTTTGGGCAGGTGCGCACATTGAGAGAGGAGAAGGAGCATAGCATGAGTTGGGTATAAGAACTGGAAATGAGCTTGGCTGAACTGAGTAACCAAATGGGTAAGCTGGGGCTGTGGTGACCTGGGAGCAGGACTGGTATCAGAGTGCTGTGGGGGTGGCTTAGAATGCCCCAGGGAGGTGGGTGGATGGAGGGCTTTGGGGCAGAAGGAAAGAGGTCTGTACCAGGAGTTGGCAAGTCTCGTAATCTCCATGAGCCTCAGTGTCCCCATCAGCAAAGAGGGAAGTGTGCCCATTGTCAGCCATCCACAGTTGTCTCTATCAGAAAGTGGCGGGAAGACTGGCTAATATCCGAGTACAAGGAATCATTAGCAGGGAGGCCAAGTTTGGGGAGCCTGAGAGGAGCTGTGGACCAAGAGGAGGGTTTTTTTTTTTTTTTTTGAGAATCCAGAGGCCCTTACTGTCGCTTCCTTTTTTACCTGAGCCGTGCCCCTGGAACTCCAAGCAGGGCCCTCCAAGGTGGAGCAGCAGCTACAAGCAGAGGCTGACCACCTGCAGAAGGAACTGGATAGTCTGGCAGCTCCAAGCCGAGGAGCAAGACACTGAGGGCTTCAGTCACCCGAACCACGAGTGGGAGGAGAGGCTGCTGGAGCTGCAGCAGGTGGCCAAGCTCTTGGGGGAGCAGGCAGACAAATCTTGGAGACCATGCAGAATGACTGCACCACCATCAGCCGCGTGCTCACCCAGAACCACGAGCTCAAGGAGCAGCTGTCTGAGCTGCAGAATGGATTCATAAAGCTGGTGCGTGACCCCATCAGGAGAGCCTGCCCTCCTCCCTAGCCCTCCCGACCTTTGTTTTCCTGCCCATAAAATGAGGCAGTGTACCCCTAATGTGAGATGGTACTTCTGAAGGTACCTGTGAACCAGAGCCCTGCTCTGATGGCTGTGGGAAAGAGGGAATGATTTTTCTAACCTGCCTCCACCCTTCCTGGTGCCATGGGAGGCAGACACCAAGTTCTAGGGTCTCCAGCTGCAGTGGATGGCTGCCGATTGCTTCTCTCTGTCCAGACTAACGAGAACATGGAGATCACCAGTGCAATGCAGTTGGAATAGCACGTAAAGAGGGAGCTGGGAAAGAAGCTGGGCAAGCTAAAGGAGACGGTAACACTGCCCCATCCAAGAAGAGCTGGAAGGCGGGCACCAGCCTCTGGGGAGGGCAGGTGTGAGGCCAGAGGCAGCTCCAGCCTGGGGGACAGGTGACCCCAGCACCCTCCAGGGCAGTCCTGTGACTGTTTCTTGCTTCCTGCCCTCTGACTTTTAGTGGTGGGCTCCTCCCAGGTCTGAACATCATCATCCCGGCTAGAGTCATGGAGCCCCCAAACATAGGGAAAGAGACGGTGGTATAAGAGGCTCCTCAGAGTCAAACTGGATTCTGGCCTTGGCTCCCCTCATCACCATTCAACTACTTTGCATCTCTAAGTCTCAGTTTCTTTACCTTAAAAGGGAAGTTAGCACCTTTCTCGCAGAGGTGCTGAGGATTAAATGCGATAATACGTGGAAAGCATTAGGCATGTGGCACAGTTAGCAGATGGAGGTTGGCTCCTCTGCTTTTCCATCAGTCTGTGGCCTAGTTTAAATGGTGGGAGGAAGGGTGTGAGATTTAAGTCTGGGTGTAGGGGATCAGTCAGTGTGGTTGGAAAAATTGTAAGATGAAGTTATAGGATATAGACACAAACCTTCTTGGAAGGCCAGAAGGTCTGCACAGCTTCAGTAAAGGATTTGGCTGAAAGCAGCCTAATCCCCTTTACCTTGAGTTGATAGCAGTAGAGCAAATAATATGGGAATGTGGGGGAGTTTATCTGAATAGCTTGTTTACTCATGTGGTCCTAAGACCAACCTTTGATTATCCGCGGGTGCATGATTGCTCTCTACTCGGTGGTCGGCAAAGTTAATTACTCACAGGTGTGTTGACTCAAAGCCTTTGTCATTAAGTCTGTGCTGAATAAATGCCCTCAGGGCCAGCTGGTCAAGGCACACAGCTCTTTGTGTGTGTGGCCTGGCCCCTTAGCCGCTCTGTCACTGAATATCGGTGTCTGAGTATGTTATTCATCCGCCATGCAGCTGGGGTCTGCAGGATAGACCCTTGCAAGTGGTGCCCTCCGGGAGGCACACTGTGAAAGATCACAACGGACCCCTCAAAAACGAAGATGAAAAGAACTGTGCAAACAGTAAGTTAGTAAGTCATTGATGCCCACTCGGAATTTCCAAGTTTGGGGGGATTGTTCAGGCTAGGGTTTCATTATGGGACAACAGTTATCAGCTTAACACAAACAGTATATAAAAGTATTGAAAAGCTGCTTAAAGCTAGTGGAGCCTTGGTTTCACAGGCTCAATTAAGGGACCTAATGCAAACTGTTGTCTCACATAACTCATGGTTCCCAGAAAAAGGAACGCTAGACGTAGAGCTCTGGGAACAAGTGGGGAGAGATCTTAATCAACATCATGCGCAAGGGCAACAGGTCCCAGTATCATCTTTAATGCTATGGGCCTTAGGGTGACCCTGGCTCTGTTATACACAGAAGAACCTAAAAAAGGGGAAGGAGGAGGAACCGTCACCTGCCTTACCACCTCCTTTTCGCTCAGCCCTGATATCAGCAGACCAAAATAACAAAGAGGAAATGGAGGTTTTGCCTGAGCCGCCTCCTGCAATAAATAGGAAAAAAGACAAGAGCTACGCTACAGCTATGGGACCCTTTCTTAGGCAAGAGGCATTAAAAGGGGAGCTCTTAGCCTGCCTGGTAATGCAAAGTTGACAAGGCAATTGGGTATATAAACCTATTTCTTTTAACGTTTATAAAAAGTTAAGAAAAAGCATTAGAGGTTGAAGCCGTGTGGCCAAGCTGGTGGTAGGCAGAAGGAAATGCCTGGCAGCAAAGGAAGCTCGCAGACCTGGAGCCAGTGAGTGCTTCCAGGAACTCGGCCTGCACAGAGGTAGCAGTGACAAGGAGCCAGGCCCAGCACACTAGAGCTGGCCTGCTAGGGAGAGGCAGGAGGCGTGCACGAAGGTCCACTCGACTGGCAGCAGCTGCCCAGCGGCAGCAGGTTGAGGGAGCAGCACAGACAAAAGGCAGCACAGACAAAAAGCAGTGCAAGTGCAACATGGCCGCTGCCCTGGGACCCACCTGCTAGACGCCCAGCTCCGCAGGTGGCCCACGGCAAAATTTCACGTGTTCCTTGTATACAAGTGACATCCCGGATTATAATTCTCTGCTAAGATTTAAGTACAATTTAAGAATTTAAAACACCTCTTTCTAATAATGGCCACTGTTGCTTTTACACTGTTTCCCTGGAAAAGCAAGACAGAGAAAAATTTGTGTTTACAATACCAGCTATCAATAATGAAAGGCCAGCTTTCCCGATTTCATTGGAAAGTGCTTCCTCAAGGAATGCTAAACAGTGCTGCCATGTGTCAGTATCATGTAAATCAAGCTTTGTTCCCCAGCAGAAAAGAATTTCCTGATTGCAAGGTTATTCATTTTATGGATGATATTCTACTAGCAGCCCCAATGGAGCCAATGCTTTTAAGTTTGTATACCTCTGTCATAAAGAATGCACAGCTGAGTGGTTTAATCATTGCACCTGAAAAAGCACAAATGTCCTCTCCTTGGAAATATCGGGTACATACTTACTTCCTGGTCAGTAAAACCTCAAAAGGTTAAATACTAGCAACTTACACGCCTTAAATGATTATCAGAAATTACTAGGCAATTTTAATTGGCTTCACCCCACCTTGGGCATTCCTACTTATAAGCTGCAAAACATGTTTTCTATCTTAAAGGGCAACACAGCCCTGGATTCTCTCAGATATTTAATCCCTGCAGAAAAAAAAAAAAAAAAGATGGAAGAAATACAACAGGCTATTTCTCAAAGACAACTAAATCTCATAGATCAAAAATATTCTGTTCAATTGTTTATTTTTCCCACTAAACACTCCCCTACAGGGTTAATAGGACAAATGGCTCCAGAGCTATGTTTTTTTAGCGTGGGTTTTTTTGCTCACATACCGAGACTAAAACACTATCTCCCTATATCCAGTTAATCAGTAAAGTCATATATTCAGGCTGCAGATGATGCAGTCACTTGCTAGGTTGTGATCCTGATATCATCAGGATTCCTTTAAATAAAAAGCAATTCAAAGCAGTATTGCCCTTATCGATGGACTTCCAAATAGCACTCTGATTACACAGGTCAAATAGAGCATATCATTCCTGCTAACTCCTTCAGTTTATCATACTCCTATGATTTTCCCTACAAAAAGAGTTCACTTCCCCATAAATGCTTTAACACTGTTTACTGATGGTTCTAGTAAACATGGAAAAGCAGCAGTCTGGTAGAGACCACATAATTCCATCACTCGATCTGGATTTACTAGCACTCAGAGAGCTGAGTTTGGGGCCTTGATATTGGCTTTGGAAACTTTTTCCACTCAGCCCCTCAATATTGTTAATGACTCTGCTTACTCTGTTTTTTTACTGCAGAACCTTGAGACAGCCCTAATTAAGTCCACTCTGGAGTCCACCCTGTGTGCTCTTTGACTTCAATTGCTAGATCAGTGTACACATCCTATTTTTATTACACACATTCAGGGCCACAGCTCACTGCCTGGCCCATTGATTTATGGCAATGATCAAGCATACCTTCAGGTTGTAACATCACTGCTTGACCAAGCCACCCAATCACATCAATTTTTCTGGCAAAACTAGAGAAACTTATCCAAACAATTTCAATTTACCCAGAGGCTGGCTAAATAAATTATCCTGCAATGCTGAGATTGCCAGCTCACAGGCACATCCCCTCCTTCAACAAGTGTTAACCCTAGAGGATTGGCACTTTATCAGTTATGGCAAACAGATGTTACACACATCCCTGAATTTGGAAAACTTAGATATGTACATGTCTCCATTGATACCAATTTTCATTTAATTAGTGTACACACCCTTCCTGGAGAGTCTACTCGATATGTCATTAAACATCTTTTAACTTTTGCATTTATGGGGCAACCCATAAAAATTAAAACTAATAATGGTCTAGCTTATGCCAGCTCACAATTTCAACAATTTTGTCACACGTGGAACATCCAACATTCCACAGGCATCCCATATAATCCCCAAGGACAGGCCATAGTAGAACGTGCCCACTCCACCCTTAAAAATATGCTCAAAAAACAAAACAGGGGAGTATGGATAAGGACCTTGCAACGCTAGTGGCACAAGCCTTATTTACCCTTAATTTTTTAAATTTAGATGATAAATTTCAATCCACTGTAGAAAAGCACTTTGCTAAAACCTCTCAAGACATAAAACTGTAGTTTTATGGAAAGATGTAAACAGTAATGTATGGTGAAATCCAAGTGAATTGTTAACTTGGGGAAGAGGGTATGCTTGTGTTCACACCCCCTCAGGTCCTCTTTGGATTCCAGCACAATGCATCAAACCATACCATTACGTGGCTAGGACCCAATCTGGTACCAGAAATGAAGGAAGTGACCCTACAGGACTCGCTGCCCTGGATGATGCGACTTCCTCGGACGACACAAGCCCTGGACATTACCTGGGGGATGCTGAAGAAGGCAACTCAGGAGGCGGAATGAATCCTGCTCTGGACACAGACACCATTCACTCCAGATAATCCGTTCCTTGCTATGCTCTCTATTGTACGTTGCAACTCACATAGGGTATTGATCCTTCATATGTTCTTGCTTTGTCTGCAACTTATACCTGCTACACTCTATTGGGCTCATATCTTAGATCCACCTTTCTTTCGCCCTGTCACCTGGGCAGACACCTCCTTCTCAGCCTTTAATAACGTAACTGCTTGGCTAGGAGGGATAGATTTACCCCCAGTGGGGTCCATCATTAATGGCACACATTAGACTAAGGTGCCAGGTAACACTACATATCATTCCACTATCCTCCCACTGTGTGTAAGTTATAAAAGGTCTAACCCTTACTGTGTACCTGCCCAAACACACTTATGGCTACATCATGACAAAGGAAATGTCTTAACATTCTTAGCTGCAGGTAGCCTCAAACCGGGCAATGCAATCAATGCCACTTTCCCAAACATTCCTTCCTATGCTAAAGAACAAAGCTGGGAAAGTAATGGATTCCACTTTAGCTGGGAGATCTGTCATGGGGAACAAGCCCGTATCCTCCAGTTAGGCAATTGTAACATCTTAGACTGGAGGTCCCACAGCCATTTGCAGGGAAGCCTTACTGATGTCCTCATCCATCATGGCATCAATCACAGTTTGGTAGCCACATCCCATTCCCCTATGATTTGGGCCAATGTGGGGGTGGATATTTCCGACCCCAAGTAAAATCCATGCCACCCCAAGACACTTTGTGGTGCCTGGGACATCTTAGCACCTCTTTTGACACCTGGCATGGGACATACCATAATTCCAGTCACAACTATACTATAACCTTTATTCATAATCACACTGATCAGTGCCTGATTTGCACTACCCATCCATATGTTTTCTTTATAGGAACTAATATTTCTGTTATACCCCAAAACTCCACGTTTGTGACCCGGGTGCAGGGACAGACTTGGTTTGCCTCATGTATTACTAATTACAATATATAATTTAAATATGACTAGAGTCATGGTATTAAGGAGACAATCTGAGGCATTCCCACCAGTTAATTTGACATGCGATTGGCAAGGTTCCTCTGCCCTTGCCACCTTCGAACGTGCCCTGTCCCAGGTCAGACCCAAAAGATTCATAGGCACACGTGTAGCCTTTATAGTCTCAGCCATAGTCACCCTAGTAACTGCTAGTGTGGCTGTAGCATCTATTACTGAATCAGGAAAAACAGCTGCTTTTGTAGATAATTTGGCCAGAAATGTTTCTAATGAACTTCTCTTACAGCAAGGTATAGATCAAAAGGTTCTTGCACATCTGCAAGTCCTTGAGGCTGCCCTTGGAATATGTGGGGGAGTGACAAGATGCACTGGCATTCCAACAGCAGTTAAACTGTGACTGGGAGCATAAACATATCTGTGTCACTTCTCTACCATGGAATCAATCAATACATAGTTGGGATGAGGTGAAACAACACCCCTGGGGAACCTTTCATGACAATTTAACAGCAGACATAAGGCAACTTAAAAATACAATTTTAGAATCCCTTCATACTGTAGATCTATCTACACACCCAACAAACAGCCATATGGAAGGGTGTGCAAGATCATCTCTCCTGGATAGACCACCGCTCCTGGGCATCACTCCTTGAGTGGAAAAGAATGTTGCTAATTATACTCATGTTTGTCTTATGTTATTTACTAATTTTAGGATGCAAAGCCGGAATAAGAGCAATGACCACCATTACTGAGAGACCAGTTGTTGCACACACATGTACTCTCCAGCTAACAAGACTGAATGCAAAAAACAGAAAAGGGGGAGATATAGGAGATCAGTCAGTGTGGTTGGAAAAATTGTAAGATGAAGTTATAGGATATAGACACAAACTTTCTTGGAAGGCCAGAAGGTTTGCATAACTTCAGTAAAGGATTTTTCTGAAATCCTTTTTACCCCTAATCCCCTTTACCTTGAGTTGATAACAATAGAGCAAATAACATGGGAGTGTGGGGGAGTTTATCTGAATACCTTGTTTACTCATGTGGTTCTAAGACCAACCTTTGATTATCCGCAGGTGCATGATTGCGCTCTACTTGGGGGCGGGTCGGCAAAGTTAATTACCCACAGGTGTGTTGACTCAAAGCCTTTGTCATTAAGCCTGTGCTGAATAAATGCTGTCAGGGCCAGCTAGTCAAGGCCTGCAGTTGTCACAACTCTTTCTGTGCATGGCCTGGCCCCTTAGCTGCTCTGTCACTGAATATCAGTGTGAGTATGTTATTCATCTGCCATGCAGCTGGGGTCTGCAGGACAGATCCCTGCAGCTGGGGAAGGAGGCATGGGACTCTGGGAAAGGGAGGCAGTCACTTAGGCCTGGAACCAAGGGGCCGGGGCCTGGGAAAGCAACAGAGCCACACAGTGACCTTGCTACCCCATTTATGGGCCAGCCACCACCTGCCCTCATGCCCAGGGTCTTTCTGCAGATGGAGCTGAAGAGCCAGAAGGCTCGGTCTGCAGCAGCAGCAAGACCAGTACCTGAGTCACCTGCAGCAGTATGTTGCCACCTATCAGCAGCTGACCTCTGAGAAGGAGGGGCTGCACAACCAGTTATTGCTGTAGGCCCAGTTCGTGGACCAGCTGCAGCAGTAGGAAGCTCAAAGAAAAGCAATGGTCAAGATGGCCTGCCAAGAGTTGCGGGAGACCCAGGTGAGGGAGTTGCTCAGGGCAGGGCCCTGAGGGGAACGACCTGGCAACCTCTGTGCCTTCTCACTCTCTTTCTTGGCCCCTTAGGAGTGCCTGGAAGCTTTCAGTCAGCAGAATCAGCAGCCTCAGGCCCAGTTGAGCCTCATGGCTCTACCTGGGGAAGGTAGCGGAGACTGCTCACAGAAAGAGAGCCCCAGGAGGAAGGGATAACTGTTAGCAGCATAGGATTGAGGAGTTGAACAGACTTTTAGAACGGCTGGTCATTATGCCAATCAGGTGTCCACACTAAGTTCGGCACCAATATGGTGACCTCCTGGGAGCAGGGGACCACCAGGTTGCCTAAGGATGGTGAACTGGTCCCGCTCAGAAATGGAGTAGGTCAGAACTCCCGTGCCTATTGGTAGTGGGACTGCACCTGGGCAACACGGCAAGATCTTGGCTCTTTAAAAAAATAATGAGGCCGGGCACGGTGGCTCATGCCTGTAATCCCAGCACTTTGGGAGGCTGAGGCGGGTGGATCACGAGGTCAGGAGTTCAATCAAGACCAACCTGGCCAAGATGGTGAAACCCCGTCTCTACTAAAAATACAAAAATTAGCCGGGTGTGGTGGCAGGTACCTGTAATCCCAGCCACTCGGGAGGCTGAGGCAGAGAATTGCTTGAACCCAGGAGGTGGAAGTTGCAGTGAACGGAGATTGCGCCACTCCACTCCAGCCTGGACAACAGAACGAGACTCCATTTCAAAATAAAGAAGAGCTGCTCATTCCCCGCTAGGGAGGGACTGGCCCAGGGCTACACAGTGAGAGTGGGGGCAGAGGTGGGCCTACTCTACCCTTGTTGGGTTGTCTGAGGACCTCTGGCCACCCCCAATAGGAGATGGACTGGACAGTGAGGAGGAAGTGGAGGTGCCTCAGCCCATGCCGAGCATCCTGGAGGACCTAGAGACCCAGAAGGCCATGGTGAGCCTGACTCCCCCTGCCCCATCTTTGCTGCCTCCCTCCATGGTCCCTCCCAGACCCCCTTCTGCTCTTGGGTTCCTGGCCTTCTGATTTCTCTGGACCCTCACCCCTTCCCTGGGAGCCAGTGGTCAGACACCATTTCACCTGTGACTAACAGGTGCGCCATCTGAGGCCCCCCCAAGGCAAAGACTGCTCTCCACCTCCCTGCCCTGTTTGTCCTGTGTATCCCCCTATAAGAATGCGTACCTCTTGCCTGCAGGGGGCATTTTTCAACTCAGCTGTAGCTAGTGCCCAGGAGGAGCAGGCATGGCTACGTGGGCAGCTGAAGGAGTGCACTGCCAGCACATGGCTCATCTGCTGGCCTCGGCCCAGAAGGAACCTGAGGTGGCAGCCCTAGCCCCAGGAACTGGGGGCAATTCCATGTGTGGGGAGACCCACTGGGCCCTGCAGGCGGCCATGGAGAGGCTGTAGGTGAGTCTTTCCAGGCATGGGCCAAAAAGGGTTGGGGGCAGGCAGGTCGCTGCCTTAATGTGACCCCATTATTTTGGCTCCAGAGCCGTTTTATGGAGCTCATGCAGGAGAAGGTGGACTTGAAGGAGATGGTGGAGGAACTGGAACATCGCTTCATCTAGCTGTCTGGAGAGACAGACATCATCGGGGAGTGGGAAGCCAGGGCACAGTAAGGAGAGCTGCACATCGGTCAGAGGGGCCCCAGCGTCTGAGCCCTGTCCTCCTGTAGGAGAGTACATCGCAGTGTACCAGAGCCAGAGGGCAGTGCTGAAGGAGCAGCACCAGGAGAAGGAGTGCATCAGCAGGCTGGCCCAGGACAAGGGAAAAGATGAAGGTAGGGCGTGGAACATCTCTGCAGGGGTGGGGGTGGGGATGGGCTCAAGCACAGGCAGAGCAACTGAGTACCCCTCCCTCCAGGTGAAGCTGCTGGAGCTTTTTGCGGCTTGTGAGCGACTGCAACGAGTAGCATGGAAGATTCCTGGCAGCTGCCCAGAACCCTGCTGATGAGCCCACTCCAGAGGTCCCAGCCCCCCAGCAGCTTGGGGCTGCTGACAAGCAGGGTAGTGAGTAGAGCCCTCAGGCAGGGTGGGCACACAGGAGGGCTCGCACAGCGCCCTGCCTCCCTCTCTCCAAAGATCTTTGCGAGGTGAGCCTTGCCAGCAGCGGGGAGCCTGTGCAAGGAGAGGCAGGGAAGGGTTCTCCCTGTGGTAACCCCACTGCGCAGCAGATCATACCGCTGCTTTATGGAGATGCAGAACCTCCAGGAGCACGCAAGCTTGGGCAGCAGCCCTTGCATTCCTTTTTTGTACCAGACTGCCGAGAACGATGAGGTGAAGATCACCAACATCTAAAAGCCGGCCACTGTCAGCAAAATCTGGAGAAGTGGGGCTGGAGGCTCTGCCTCTACCGTGCCCCTACCACCCCTTCCCAGTCAACTCTTTACCCTTACAGTAGCAAGCATAAGACCCCTGTCTAATGTGGAGAGACGGGTGGAGATGAGGTGAGGATCACCATAATCTAAAAGGCCACTAAATAAAATAAATTTTAAAAAGGTATGGGATTTTTAAAACATGTATGGGATTAAAGAAGTTATGGGATTTAAAATGTTATGGGATAAAAGTTATGAAAGTTATGAAAAGTTATGAAGCCGGACACGGTGGCTCATGCCTGTAATCCCAGCACTTTTGGAGGCTGAGGTGGGCGGATCACTTGAGGTCGGGGAGTTCGAGACCAGTCTGACCAACATGGAGACACCCTGTCTCTACTAAAAATACAAAATTAGCCAGACATGTTGGTGCATGCCTGTAATCCCAGCTACTGGAGAGGCTGAGGCAGGAGAATCGCTTGAACCAGGGAGGCGGAGGTTGCAGTGAGCCAAGATTGTGCTGTTGCACTCCAGCCTGGTCAACAAGAGTGAAACTCCATCTCAAAAAAAGAAAAAGGTATGAAAAAGGGCATAAAAAAGGATAAAAATGTTAAAAACAAAAAAACAAAATGGGCCACTGTCAGCAAAGCCTGGAGAAGTATGGGGCCAGAGGCTCCGTCCCCATCATGTCCCAGCCACCCATTCCCAGTCACCCCTGTACCCTTACAGTAGCAAAGTAAGACCCGTGTCTAATCAAGGGGAGGCAAACATGCAGACCCTTTCCCACCTTGGCCAGAGCAGACTCCTTAAATTTCTGGATGATGATTGTTTTCAGAGTCAGGCTCATAGAATTGGCTTGTTTGGAGGAGGCCTGATGGCCTCCTTAACTCTCACCAAAGGAATTTTTTTCCTTAGGAGGGCTCCCATCTTCTTACTCAGAGAGGCAGCTGAGGCAGGACAATGGCGCTTAATGAAGACCAGGTGAGGGCACGGGCTCTGGGGTGGCCCCCCTTCCTCAGTGTACATACTGTAGCTGTGTAACATTTTGTATATTCCAGTGATAGGGCCACCTCCTGTATCATACATAGCAGAGGTTGGGGCTAGCATATGGGGAGGAGGTTCTAATAGTTATTTGGGGCTGGGAAACTTATTTATTGATAGCATAGGGGAAGGAGACAGATGGGGTTGTGGCACTGTGGTGATGTGACTCCTGTTTATTTTGCATTTTATTTTGGAATGTATCTAGCCACATACAGCTTGGCCTGGTGTATTCCTGTTTCCCTCACTGGGTCATGAAATTTGTGCCACAGAACGGGGAGCCCCAAAGTGTCTGAGCATGTCCAGCTGGGGTATTGGGGACTTTCCAGGCCTGTTACCTGTATGCTGCCTGGTAACACCTGGAAAATTCCACAGGGACTGCCATAGCGCCTATGGAGGACCGTGGGGCCCTGACGGCCAACAGCCTCAGAAGCCTGATTTAGCAGTGGCAGGGAAGGCAGGTGCCAGCATCTAAGGGCACTGACTTCCATCCAGCCCAGGTGTCTTCCATTTTGTTCCCCTGGCTCCCTCGCCTGTCTGTGCCTGGATGACCCGTAGTGTCTCTCCAGGTTGCCAGCTGCCCTGCAGGCGCCCTCCAATCTGAGTTCATGGCTCTGCCCCCTAGTGGCCAGAGCCGGCTTCACAGGATGAGAGCCTGCTAAGCTCCAGAGGCTTTCCAGGACTGTCCCTTGGAAAGGATATGGTCTTTTCACCGTTCCCAATAGCACCCTAGCAATGGGTTGGCCCTTCCCTCCCCTGAGCTCCACAGAGAACACAACCAGCAGAGGACACATTCTCCGTCACCTAGCAATGGGTTTTATTCCCAGCCAAGGGACAGCAGGACTGGTAGAGACAGGCCACACAGCTGTCTGCACAGCACCCCTATGCTTGTCGGGGGGCAGGAGGGATGGTGGGGGCTGGCTGTCCACAGGCCAGGCATGACAGGGAGGCTCACTGGAGGTGGTGGACTTTGGATGGGGATTGTTGGGGGACAGTGTTCTCTTGTAGTTGGACCACAAGACTCCACAAGGACAGTACAGTGACTGATTCCCAGCGCTAGAGGAGAGGCAGTCAGCCATGTGTAGCGGTGTATACATATATATGAGTATTCAGAGAACAGGGCAGGGGCGTACGACAGAGGGGGCACAAGTTTTCCCCAACGGTCATGGCTGGATGTGTCAACTCACCACTACAGATGAAGGGGGCTGGTTTTGGGGCTAGGGGAGCCACTGTCAAGTCACAGAACAGTCGTCCAGGCAGTCTTGGAAAGGAAGGTCTCAGAGAAGAGGAGGGATCTGTTTAGAGGTGGAAGAGGGCCCTGGGGCTCTCAGGTTGGGATGGACTTACCTGACCCCATTGGCTGGCAGTTGGAGAGAGAGAGAGTAAACGGAAGAGAGAAAAGCGAGGCGAGAGCTGGTAAGGCAAGCGCAGCGTGCTGCAGCAGTGGTGGAAGGGCTAGGGAGGGGAGGACACAAGTGCAGATGTGGCAAGATTCCTGGAAAAGAGGGGCTAGAAGGGAAAGGGGAGGAAGATAGAGGGAGGAGCCGGAGCTTCACAGGTAATGCCTGGCGGCTGCGGCAGCCCTCCCCACCCACACATGCTGGCCTCTCACGGCACCTAGGCTAATGCACCCACAGTTCAAACTGATAATCAGCCCCCTCGGGCTTCCCACTTGTCACCCTGTCTTTCAACCCACTGGCCCAGGGCCACTCCTGGCTTTGGGGAGCCCTACACCACAGCCAGCAGGCCTGACAAAGAACATTGCTTGAACCAGGAGGATGAAGCTAAAAGGGATGCATGGCTGGAGGGAGTGCCCGAGTCCCCTCTAGGCAGTCAGAAAGCCCAGGACCCTGTGAAGGGACCCTGGGGGAAGTGGGGAGGGCAGGCAGCCGGATGCCAGTGGCCATAGATTTACAAGTCTAAGAGGGGAGCCTCAGCTGGTTGGGGGGCTACAGGTCGCATAAGTGAGGCTGGGCCCTTCCTGCTGGGAAAAGAAGAGCGAGAGCAGCAGGGGAAGCCTGGCTAGAGCTCAGCCAGACCAGTAGGCACTGTCGTCCCCTTGACTAAATAGCATAGGCGACCCCTAAGAGCAACAGGCCAAGGTGCCTGAGCCCACTGGCTGGCTATGGTCCTTCAGCTGGGGCCAGGGACACTGCCTTCAGTCACAGGCTAGCAGGTGTGAAGGTACCTGGGAGGGAGGCAAAACCCTACACTAGCAGGTATGATGGTACCCAGGAGGGAGGCAAGAGAAGAAAAAAGACCCGGCTCGGTGGCTCACGCCTGCAATCCCAACACTTCGGGAGGCTTAGGCGGGTGGATCACCTGAGGTCAGGAGTTCAAGACCAGCCTGGGCAACATGGTGAAACTCCGTCTCTACTAAAAATACAAAAATTAGCTGGGCACAGTGGCACGTGCCTGTAATCCCAGCTACTTGGGAAGCTGAGGCAGGATAATCACTTGAACCTGGGAGGCAGAGGTTGCAGTGAGCCAAGATCGTGCCATTGCACTCCAGCCTGGGCGACAAGGGTGAAACTCTGTCTCAAAATAAAAAAAAAAATAAATCTTAAAAAATTAGCCAGGTGTGGTGGTGTACACCTGGGGTTCCAGCTATTTAGAAGGCTGAGGTGGGAGGATTGCTTGAGCCCAGGAGGTTGAGGCTGCAGTGAGCCATGATTGTGCCACTGCGCTCCAGCCTGGGCAACAGAGCAAGAGCCTGCCTAAAAATAAATTTAAAAAATTTTTAAAAATGAGAAAGATGGGAGGAGGGCGATTGCGTTTGATTTTTTCTAAACTTTAATTGAAATTTAGCTTTTCCTTCCATGGTGAATGTTGCTAGGAACAAACCTCATTAGTGTTAGCAGCACCTGTTACTTTGTTACCAACAGAAATCACAGATATTCTCATATTACACTGCAGCTGTTGCAGACATCTTGAGATAGCATTTTTGCTCATCATTACCTCGAAATTATGGTAATTAGACCCAACTTTGGATCTTGTTCTTTAATGTGCCAATAAAGCATATCATGTAATATCACAAATATTTTCATAAACTTTATTTTGATATAATTTATTTCCATTGCTTTCTGTATTTTGTACACTTTAAAAAAAAAAATCTATTCCGAGCAGTCCATAGGCTTCCTCAGATACCAAAGAAGTTCATGGCACAAAAAGGCTAACGATGCTGGGGTCTAACCCAGAGTAGGTTTGCTGCCAAAGTGAGGTCCTGGAAGCATTCAAATGCAAAGAAATGTGTTTCTGTGATTTTCCATGAGACACTCTCTCCACCTCCCTTTCAGGTAGGATACTTTTATGGGCAGAACCTGGTCATTTTCCTAAGAAGACGAAGGCTTTGTGTACAAAAGGGGGTAGAGCCCAGGATGGCTATGGGCCAGAGGTGAAGATTCCAAAGTCAGACAAATAAAGGGGGTATCTCTTTATACTCAGTAGAAATGTGGGGCTGAGGAGGGGCAAGGCCCAGGTGAGCTCCATGAAGAAGGGTTGGGGTAGGAAGGTAGAGGGACAACTCTGGGAATTGGAGGTTGCAATGAGAAGAGATCATGCCACAAAACTCCAGCCTGGGTGACAGAGCGAGACCCTGTCTCAAACAAACAAACAAACAAAGAGGCTTCCCGAGAGGAGTTCTGTTATTTACAACATTTTACAGAACAATGTAGGTAAAGAATAAGGCTAATCTATATCAGAGAAACAAAGGCTACAGCTGCCTAGGTTGTAACTGCCTGTTTTTTGTTTTGTTTTGTTTTTGATTCAGGTGCTACAATCACATTCCTTTAAGGCTGAGAATATTTTAAAGTTTCAACAATTCATATTTGGAGTTATTTTCTTTTTCTTTTTTAAAAAATTGAGACAGGGTCTTTCTCTGATGCCCAGGCTGAATTGCAGTGGCATGATCTCAACTCACTGAGGCAAGTGCTCCTCCTGCCTCAGCCTCCCCAGTAGTTGGGACCTCAGGTGTGAGTTACCACACCTAACTAATTTTTTTTATTGTTTGTAGAGACTAGGTTTCACCATGTTGCCCAGGCTGGTCTTCAACTCCTGAGCTCAAGCAATCCTCCCACCTCAGCCTCTCAAAGAGGTGGGATTACAGGCATGAGCCACCATGTACAGCCAGAGTTAATTATTTTCACAGT